AAGAAAAATGTGGTACTGGTCTTAGTTTTCTTACATTACTTTACATGTAATTGGGAAGCAAAATGTATACTGGCCTTGGGTTCCTTATATCATTTTAAATGTAGTATTGGATTTGAGTATCTTACATCAATTTATTTAACATATCTCAATTTATTTGTCAGAGACAAACTCATATATTATTTTTGATGCCAGTCTAAAGAAACCATTTTCTTGAAATTTTGCTTTGTGTTGACAATTCCAGTACTGAATACAGACTTTTTTTAAATTAGTGCTGAATTTTTTTTCATATATCCTATCTTAAAAAAATCAAATTAATCATCATAAAATTTTTATCTTTCAGTCACTAGATAGATTAAAAAATAAACTAAATGGTGCTTTTTAATCTAATTTAATTTAACCAAATTTCAGCAATTCATCAGAAATCATTCCTTTTTTAGTTATATCTGTTATCAGCAACATGTATTTGAATAAAAAAAGATTTAATCTTTCATTCTTAGCAGCCTCAAGATTTTAATTACTGATGAAAATAAATTTCCAAATCAAAGAGATACTTGAATCAACTGCATGTAATCTTACACAATTGGATTAATCAGAAAACTGGAAAAGAAAATAATGCCACATGCAAGTTGTCCTTATTTTAATCAGCAGGAATAATTCCTACATTTAACACTAATAATTTTCTTTATTACACTTTCCCCATATGAGATAAAAAATGTAAAATAAATTACATAAAAAGCTTTTTAAATTTTAGTTTTAATTAAATGCCCTAAATGTGAATAATCTTTTATTTAACCATGATAATACTTTCGGTCAAATGCAATGAAAAATAAAATTGGAAAATATGCATATAAATAACTGCTTGAAGACATTAACAGAATTTTATAAATATATTATATAAGCAATATAAACAATTCTATAAAATTAACATATAGAAGAATGGTTACATCCAATTCTCTACATTTATGACCAAGAATATTGGTCAAAATTGACTTTATAATGTCATGTATTTATTTAAAACAGAAAGTGTAAAAGATTTTATATATACATTTTATTCTTTTTTCAGTATTAAATTCATTTTAATACTTCTGGGAACTTTTCTAATTCTTACATATTATACTGAATTTTCATCCCCCATACAAACAATTGGTATAAGGCTAATTAAAAAAATAACACAATGCATATTGGCTGGTTGATTTAATTAAAGTAAAGCACATGAAAGCTATCTACCAAAAGAGGAAAGAGTTATTAAGAGAAACTGTCTTTCCTCAGAAAACAATGAAAATGCATGTTCTTTCTTCTTTTTATTTCTATATTACACATAAGGAACAAGAAAACTCTATGCAGCCAAACACATCAACCAGGATCATGAATCTCAATTAAACTAAGAAATAAGAACTAAGGGTAAGGCCAAGGGTTAGGACAAAGTAAAAATTTTTAATTTAACTGTAAAGAACTTAATATAAATGCTACAACTACTAAGAAGCACACATATCATCTTCATTAAAATGTATCTCTAATTAAGCAATAAAACTTTCTTTTCACTCTTATAACTTCAAAGTATATCTCACGATCCCTTTTATACAGATTTAGAATTAACTCTGAATGTACTGCTACAGGTAATATGTAATTTAAAACCAAAGAAAAATGCATTCATATGATAACTTAATTTTAAAAAAGGAAAGAAATTAATTTTTCATTTTATGATAAGCAATTATGAAAAGGAATATAGGTAACAAATATATCTTTATAAACCTCGAACTCTAACATGTTAACAGGGTTCGCACACATTTCTGCACACGGAAATTAAGGACCATTAATGAAAAAAAATTAAGGACCTATGAGCATATGGGAACTGATTAAATTCAATTAAAAATATTATTCTATGCCTGAATTTCCCTTTTCTAATACCCTCCTAAAAATAAAATAGATCCATAAATAGTATGCATTATTACCAAACGTAAATTAACATAATTATTAATAAGTTTGAGAATAAAATAAACTTCATGCAGTTTATCAAGTGCATTAAATATTTTACAAGTAGCATTTATAATAGGTTGGACATATTTGAAAGAAAATAAGTGACATTTACGTTTTACTAATAGTTAGTTTTATGTTGATTTTTTTATGTCTTATTCTGTCACATACTTGATCAGTCTAAAGCAGAGGTTCTCAACCGATGGTACGCAATAAAAAATAGGTGGTACACAAAGAGGCAAAGTATTTTTAACTATTTATTTCAAAATGAAAACCCCAACATCCTGATTGAGTTTTTTCTCTAACACTCGTAAATTGATGCGATCTGAGCTTTGTTCAAGAGTGGTGGTGGTACAAAAGGTTTTCAATTTTTATTCAGATGCTACACATTAGTCAAAAGGTTGAGAACGGCTTGTCTACAGGTTTAGTAAATAGCAGGTAGATTTTATGTCAAACGGCATACGTTAAAGTGAGAAGTATCATAATCAGCATCATTCATAATAAAAGACTGAATATTATCACCGCTGATGCTTGTCTAGAGAGAGACCTGCTGATTAGAACAAACCTGAAAGGCATGAAGTAGGCACGGTTAGCAAGTGTTCAAAGTTAGTTAGGATCTGAAGCAGTTAATGTCATAGCTTCGTGTAGAGTTCCAGGGGTTGTAACCCAGTTAATATACTTTCAGTTTCCAATAAGCCATTAAAGACCATAGGTGATAAGCTATTTTGTATTAAGTCTCACTAGATGCAAAGAATAAGCTTTACTTGAATTTCTACATTTTTGTTTTTTATCTTGTGACTACAGTGAGTATTAATAATAGGCAATAACTCTCTTTAATATGTAGAGATAATTTTTAAGGGTAAGCACTTAGTTATAAATAATTAACTTAGGTAAATAGGTAACCTTAGTCATGGATTTACATGGGCATTATTAAATTTTATTTTTTAACAATATTTGTTAAAAAAGTCCTATTAAAATCAAAATCTAATAAAATTTCACAGTTGAAAATACATGTTATTTATGACACTGATTCTTAAACGATATTAGAATAATTACACATTAAAAGATACAAAACACTTATGTTTTGTAACAACAACACTCAACAAAATATTTACCAGTCATTTTAATTTGAAGCCTTAGCAAACATTTTGGCTAGTTTATACCAATTTCCTTCTCTTTAAGCATATTTTCTAACAATAATTAGAGATTTGTCTCAATATGCAAACCAATGCTCTCGCTTGTTTCTGCATGCTTTATCTCCTAATTTGTCAACCTCTCCACAATGTACCTACCTATGAGGGTTTACTTGATCTGGTAAAAGTTAAATAGTCCAAAACCCCCGATAGACGTGAAGCAAATTATCAATATGTCTGAAAGTAACTACAATATCGGACAAAGGTTTAAATAAGCCTCTTATTTGAAAAGAACTTAGAACAAACATAAACGCATTTTCTGATGCTAACAAAGTCAATTATATCTCATGGTGACGCAATTAAACAAGAACAGTCAAATTCAAACTGAAAAGGTGGACTAGTGGTCAAAAATTATACAATTTAATTTTAATTTAATCTGGCTCAGTAACTCTATCATATGAGGAAACAGAAATGGAAAATTATAGTAAAGGCTGAAATCATAAACAATTGCATAATTTACATAATAACTGCACATATTAATTCAGAAGTCAAACAACAAAAATCAGAGTTAATTTTCAAAATTTTCACAGGACTAGTTTCGATGGTTTTACCGAACCGCCATCCTCAGCTGCAAAACCACAAATGAAAAATTGCAGCTGCAAAACCGCAAATGAAATTTTTTAATTTGCGGTTTTGCAGCTCCAAAAATGAACAAGCAGAAGCTTTTTTCATCACATACAAAAAAGTTCTCAGTTTGATGCTTTTGTTTTACAAATTTGCGTTCTAATGTACTTTATATTTAATGACATCATAAGTTCATAAATATTACAAAGATAAAATTTCACACAGAAATCTCAATTTACATCAAAAGTTTAGTGAAATAAAATAAAAAAATTTCATAACAACTTCAATAATTTGAAATACTTGCCCTAAAATATTTGTCTAGTTTAGAGCCATTCAAATGACAAAAGAATTTTGAGGGGGAAAAATATAATATGTAAGATTTCTTTTAAGTACAAAATTGCTAATTCATTGAAGTAAGGAAGTGTAAAAACTTAATATTTTCTGGAGCCAGTGTATTAAATAAACAAACAGATACTGATAAAGGTATTATGCAGGTAATAAAGAAAGGAGACTAAACAGACATTTAACAAGAATTAAGGTAAGTAGAAATAACATGCTACAAAATTTTAAAAAGTAATTACTTTAAGAAACAAAAAGAAATATTTTGATTATATTTAAAAATTAAGATATATATATTCAAGTTTTTTTTTTTTTTTTCTAATAGTATCCTGGAATAGTTTTATCATCATTTTTAAACAGGATTTTACGACTTACTTTGTATTAAATTATTTTATCATAACAACTATTATAATGAGAATAGGAATAAAAACTTTTAAGGAAGGAAAAAAACAATCTATATAAATTTATCCTTGTCATTAAAATCATGTCATACATTTCATGTCTTTTCTTTATATTAATTTCAAACATTAACAATTATAATTAGCTTTCTACAGTTTCTGAAAAAATACTTCTTTATAAAGTTAAATTATAACAGTATGCATTGAAATATGTGTTAATTTGCAAAATTAAATTCTTTTCAAACTGTAACCAGCAGTCCTTCATGTAATACAAAACAAAGATTTAAAAGATAGAAATTTGTAAAGAATGTTATTTCGGAATCACTTAAATAGCTGTATTTCTGCATATATAAAACATACAATTTTGATAACACTTTTAAAAACTTGTAACTGCATTGAGAATTAATTTTAAAATAAAAATAGACAACACCTAAGCATTTTCTTACAAATATATGAAAAACACTATACAGGTAACAATACAATTTTATTAAACTTCATTTAGAAGAGTCCTATTTAACAAATAAAATATTACCTCCAAAGGAGCAATGAACTAATATCACGGATAAAATCCAAAAAATATAGAATAAAATGAACTTGATGAATTTTTACTAGATTTCATTCTCTACAGCATTAGGAACAGTGGCACTGCCACTAAACTATATAAACTGGCACAGAATGGCCACAATATGTACAAGAGATAAACTTGGTCACTTACATAGTCGTTTATAGCTAAACTGAGGAAGGGTAACTAAGAGACCAGCTCTCTTCAGAGTCTTCCCAAGATCTGGCTGTTCTCCAAGATTAAATTTAGAAAACATCTTTCTGCCTGAATGTCAGACTACTGCTGAAATTCTATTTTTGCCACTAGACACATGTACGCAGCTCTAATACGTATTATGCTAAGAAAAGAAAGAAAGGGGAATGAAACATTGAAAGAGAAATAAAAAAAGCATTACAGTGTTTTAGCATTTTTATTTTGAACACTTTTATTCATAAATCTACGTAATATTTTAAACATATAACTCTATTTAAATATTTACAAACGTTTCTTGTTAGTTACAACAGTCATGATACATGATACTTCATGATACATTCATATCATGAGCAGTTTAATTAATTATGTTTATGCCAATGAAATATTTATATTGTCCATGAAATTGAAACACATAAAATAAAACTAAAAACATATCATTAATCATAAATTTATTCCAATTTTTAATAATTGGTGCTTCTACAAAATATATACTACATTCCAAATATTTTGTCTCTAGAAATATTGTTCCAAAGCTTATTTTGAAACATTGAAATCTTTTTCATAGTCCTTGGACATCGCATATTTAAAGCATACAAGAAACTTTTTGTACCAAAATAATCGGCAGTAATTTTACAAATATATAAATAATAAATGTGATTCAACTTCTCATTTTTCTTTAAATGATGTTCAGATGAATAATAAAGTTAAAATATAGGAAAAAGATAAAACTATCCTTCTCAATATAGCTGAGAGAGAATAATTTCTCATTAATTTAGATGAGTCTGATAAACATATAAATTAAAGAGCATAAATAATAATCACGTGTTCCTAAAATTTACATATTCTTCACAGAACCAATTTACTACAAAAATATAATCCTTTCGACCCCTTTTGGCGCGCTGAAAGCTGATGCTGCCGTTTAGCTAAAAATAATCCGTACAGAAACGTAATGAGAAAAATGCACCACTAATTAAGCGAAAATTCATATTTTAATAATAATTTACGAAAACAAATGCATAAGTATGGTGGAATATATAATAAAAAATTCAAATTACATTTATCCGAGTTAGATTTTAGAATATTACTAGGGATGAAAGCAATAGCTGTATTACTCAACTCATATTATACCACGTGATAAATCGAAACCGAAACATAAAGGAGGGAAAGTTCGCTTCGCTGTTGTTACAGTATAAATTTTAATGCGTGTAACGTATTGCTTTTATATTTAAGAATTACATTAGTAAATTTAAGTATCCTGAAATGAGTACGAGTGCTGTTAGTACTAGCTAAAGGTAATAAATGTCTCTGTCATTTATTTAGGTATATATCGAATATCTGTTGTTGCTGTGGGATAATTGGTGATTAAAATCCTTTTCTATTTTACTTTTTTTAATTGAAAGCAAAATATATTCTGGATAAAATTTAAGGAGGTATATCTGTATATTCAGTGTGATATTCTTCGCCATTTTTGCTCTGCGTAGTTTTTTTTATATATGACTCTTATTTGATGTTCCTCTAAAGTTGTTTAATTTTAAACAGATACTGCAAGCCCTCTCTTTTTTTTTTTTTTTTAGAGGGGGGGGGAATAGGAGCATATCATTAACTCGGTTAATTTTCATTCGCAGATTCTGAAGTCTTTTGCTACTGTTTATGTTTTTATGCTTAGATAAATTCAATGTTGTAGTGATTGTTATGTTCAGAGTAGACCATCCATTCCAAGTAAACTATCTGTACTTCAAAAATGTATTTTAATTATGACATAGAGCATAAAAAGCAAAGCATATATCAACAAATTAATGATTTACACATCATTTGAAAAGGAAAAAATTAATATCATGAATTAAGCATCTGAATGGCATGGCTTTTTAAATGTGCTCATGAAAAACTGTACTTAAGTCAGTTTCTATCGTAGCTTATTTTGGTCTTTTTTCATAAACTTCCATTCGTAAAGATGATATTTACATAATTAAACCGAGAATAGGAAAAGGAATTAATTTAAACTATGAAAAAAGTGACTAAAGAATTCATGTTGATTAGGAAACTTGTTAGTTGGCTTATAGAGATAAGTTAATTATGTGGTTAAATTGTGTATCACTTTGATAACCAAATAATGGAATAAAATGTAATTTAAATTTCTTTCCAATGTAAAACAAAAAATTTTCTAGTAGTTTTTTACAATTATGGAAGAGAAACATGTTGTCTGTGCTTAAACAGTTATGAAAATAGTCTAGTTTAGTATCTTTGCTTATGAGAGTACAGCCAGGAAACTGATTTTTGAAGAAATAAATTGATTCTGAAAAACTAATATGCTTAACCTTTTTTCCTGTGTTATAAAGATTTTTTTATTCATTATTTACATTTACTTGAAAATGAGTTAGAATAACATGTCAACTAATGATCATTGGAGGAGTTGCAGCAACTGGAATTGGCGTAATATTCATAAATTTGCAAAACTGATTCAAAGATTTAAATACAAAAATGTTTTATTTAGCTTCCGAAATGCAGATTTAAATAATTCATTGTCCATTTATTTTACACTTCTGCAGCTGAAGAAGTTTCTATATTTAAACCTACGCAATTGTTATGATCGTTCTTGTTGCTTTAACTTGTCCAATAATTAACTGAAGTATTCAGGCAGACATGTAAGCTGCTTCACAATAATCAAATTTTAAATCTCCATAGTTAACTAAAATTTCTTAACTAATTTGAGGTGTAGTGAACCTGACAGACATCTGTTCCAACTTCCAAGAAAAGATTAAATTTCATTTTTCCTTCTCATTTTCTTATTTTTAAAATCTAGAACTGGGAAGAATGCATGAAATTTTGCTTTTTTTAATATAGTAAGAGAATGTAGAGGCTACTTCCAAAAGCAGAGGCTTGGGTTAAATGTCATTGAGTAATTCAAGCTCTGTATAGCTTCAGTCGTTCTAAAAAATATTTGTATGCTAGTTAGAAAAGTTGAAAAACCTTTGCAATAACAAAGTTGTAAACAAAAACCTTGCAAATATGCAAGGAAAATGATATAATGAGTATTTAATAAGTTATTTGAAATAGAAAAACAGTTATCTTGGTTCTAATTGAATGCATCAAAAATATTTATGATAGATTCAAAATAATTACATACAGTTTTTATTTTTAATATAATTAAATATTTGATTATGTAGCTTCAGCTGTCTTGACTGCTGTAAATTTTTTGGTTATTGAATTAACTAAATTTTTCCGAAATTCTGGTGCAATTTTGTCCTATACCCATTGTAAGGCTTTTTTTAAAATGCATCTTATCAGAAATTTTTAAAATTTTTAGTTTTTCCTGCAAATATGCCCATATATATTCTATAACATTTATGTACGATGAATGAGGAGGTGTATTTAATTGACTGCACACATCATACAAAAGCTACAGCCTGGTATTCACAGCAGTGCATTTCTGATTGTCATTGTGCTGAATTACAAAATCGCTTCTCAATTCCATTTTTTGCTTACTTTACGATTTCTTTTAAGTATGGCTATGCATCGAAATCTATCCATTTTTCCTTTTGATAAATGTTAATTTCCTGACTTCTTAAGCAGACATACACCCCCAAATAAGTATACTGCCATCGCCATATTTTACTATATGTAGCTTGTTAAGTTTTTCTTTGAAGTGGTTTTCCTGGCCTACGCTTTATTTTAAAATTTCCGTCAGGTCCAAAAATATTAAGTTTAAATTTATCATTGAATGTAACCTTATTTCAAAGTCGATTTTGATATTTATATGCATAATCTTTTCTTTGCACTGAGGACAGATACGTAAAATTATTTCTGAGCAGATAGCCTATGAAAATCTTGTTCATTTAATGCCCTTTTGATTGTTAAGCTAGAAACTGAAATGCTCAATTCTTCTTCCAACTTAAATCTCAGTTTTAGGGTTGAAATATGAAGATTTTGTTTTATTTTTTTAAACTAGGTCTTGCATCTCAGCATTAATGTTTGAGGATGTCTACTGCGAGATTCATTTGGGGGAGTTTTGCATATTTTATGCTTTTTTTATATTTTGAATCAAGTTCACTGAAAACTTTTTCTGCATTCACAGTAGCTTTTCTTTCCTTTTACCAACTTAGGAGCTAATTTTTTTTCTTTTAATATTGTTTCTGTTATTTTAGCTGTAAGTAACAAAATAAGTTGATACTTGCATGAATTTTATCAACTGACTAAGTAACACTATTTCGCACCAACTATGAATGGTGTCTTTTAGAATTCTGCTCTAAATATTTATAACTGTTGCCGAAATCTCTGTCAACACTAGACAGGATAATATGCAAGTACGAATAATTCAAAATACAATGAAATTTGGACGTGTTTTCAAAATAGTTAAGTGCAGTAGCAAAGTATAATCGCATGTCATTTCAAGTTGTTTTTTATATTGCAACAGAAGGTGTATGAATATTTTAGCACTCTTTCATAGCACGTGATTTAATGCATTTTAGTGTAAAAAATAAATAGACTTTTAGTTTCCTAAAATATATTTATAATAAACAAAAGTATCAAATACAATTTAAATGCATTTCTTGAAAAATAAGTTTTTGTAATTTGTATTATTTTATGAATATTTTTTACACTATTTTGTTAAATTTATGGGGAAAAAAATTATTCTGAATTCTTTCAAAAGCTTGTGACTATTTTGCTAATTTTATAAACTAATGGTAACTTGGTAAAAGTTTACAATTGGGTGCCTCTTGTTTTTTGGCAATTCTTTTTTGACGTCAAGATCAGCGCCAGGAAGGCACAATTTCAAGATGGCCACTACACAAAATCAAAATAAGTCAAAATTGTACAAATTCTGTGTCCTTGTACACAACGATATGTTTTCACTTAAAAAAACATCCCAGAATTGCACAGACTGGGCATTGTGCACTGCCTTAAATTTCTCCATGTACACATCAATGTATTTTCATTTTAAAAAAATCAGGAAGCTAAAACAAAGTTAAAACTATCATGGTAACCAGAAATGAGGTTTCATTGCCAAAAATTTGTCACTGATTGAAGGGGCGCCCAATTTTATACTAGAGCAGATAACTTTTATATCTTGTGGTATACGAATTTGTACACATTAACAAACTATGCATTTCTTTAACTTTTGATTTAACATGTATGCTGCTGTATCAGGCACATGTCACAGACACTTCACTGAACCATTAGGATTGTGTCTGTCGCATGCAGCCATTAGCACATTTGACTTTTAACTTTGAATATATTTGTAGTAGTGATTTCTCTCTTCTAGTATTGTATCAAATATGAATAATGCAGAATAATGTATCAATTATGATACCATAGGCAACTATTGTGTTGGAGCCCATTTCAGCTGCCTCTGACATGTTTTATTTGTATTTATTTTTGTGACAGGACATAAAAATGTTACAATGGCAGCTTTTAATTGTTGGGTATATCTTTTTAATTAGAAAGATTATTTAAATAGGATAATTTTTCATATTAAAGCACTTTCCATGCATTGATGCTTTTCAAGAGTAATTAATCTCTAATTAGATTTAAAAATGCAATAAATATTTTTACACGTAAGTATAACAATAAATAGTGGTAATGTAAGTTGTACATAATTGTATTAGTAGCTTGAAATAAAATCTCTGGTATTAATAATTTTTGGTCATCTTAATACCTTAAATATAAACTTGTATGTACATATGTATTAACTGACAAACCAAGAAGGGACAAACTTTTAATTATAGGTGTTGTGTAAATGCAAATAAAATCAGTGTTTTTCGATCTATAAAACTTTCTGAAAAGAGTTCATTGCATCATACCTAAATTTATGCCAATTATGGTCAGTGCTTTAAACAAAAGAAAAATTTTAGTGCCTTTTTTCAACCTCCAACTGATATCTCAATTTGCTGTGTACTATTACAAAAGTAAAATATATTCTGTTTGTGTCCTCTGAAGATTTTTACAACTTCTGAAGATTTTGCTGTGCTTAATATTTCAGTGACATCCATCTTTTTTGGAGAACATGTATTATCATTAATTTCTATTACACAAGTGTGGTCGGTAACTCGATTTTCTCATTTTCAAAAAGGGTTTTGCCTAAAGATGGCACTTCAGTTACGAATTTCAGTGTAGTGCTAAATAAAATAGTTTCTGCACATCTTTCTTTTATTCATTTCAGTATTTTTTTTTTCGGTTGCTAAATAAGGCTTTATATTTTGATGATAATATATGTTAAAAATGTGCTGATGATGGTTATATTGTGTTTTAAATAATTTTATGCATGTTTTATCAGGGTTTAAGATTTTTTTAAGATCTTTGCGAACTTCAGTAATGCTGCAAGTATCTCTGGATTTTGTCCAAAGTGATTGAAATTGGCTTCATGTAAATTTCAAGTATATTTTGTTTGACTAGCGTTAAGAACTTTTGACTGACATACATGTCCATGGTTTACATGAAAATTGGGCTGTTTTTTTAATATAGCTTTCAAGGATTGTGATAAGGAATTTTGGCATATATCAGATGGTATATTTAAACCAGTTTATTAAATTTGGCTCATACAAGTTGCTATTTTATGATCTGAATAGTATGTTCAGTAACATTTGATATTACTAAACCATTAGCCAATGAATAAGCATAAATACAAAACAAAAATTGTTTTAAAATTATTTTATAACTTTTGTCATATTTCATGCATTATCAATTAGCAAAACTTGAAATGTAACATTTTAAATTTGGTTCCAACTTTTTAATAGTATCTACAGCAACAATAAATAAAGTTTTGTTTATATGTGATGTTAATGATGTATCAATAATTTCTAGTAAATGTAGTTCCATCTGCTGTGTAAAAACATAGAGAAATAGTTACATGTGGATATAAAACCAATCGTATATACTGGATGATTAAAACATTACTGAACTTATTCATTTGTTCTTTATGTACATCATTTAATAATTTTCTACTAATAGATGGGTGCATATATCCAGGATATCGCCTTATGTTTATTTTGTACATGGTACAACGGAAAGTTGGCATATGACTTTGGTGCTGTTAATTTTTCAGTTAGGGTTACTACATTGGGAATGCTAAAAGCAGATGATGCTTGGCTGCAGTATTTTTTGCAAAGCTATTCTTTTGATCTCAACTGTAATATTTATTAGTGAATATAATTTTATCATCAATTTCAAATTGTTATTTCTAACTAAAAGGGTACGCTAACTTTATCAAATCGGAAAACCATTATGGCTATGTTATCACAGAAACATTGCCTCTTACCATATTTGAAGAATGAAATAATCTGAAACCACATGACTCGAATGCTACCTTCTCAAAGCTGAACTATATTGGATGCCTTTGTTTTAAATTAGTGCACTAGTGAGATATGCTTCAGACTAAGTTGATGTAGAAGTGACTTTTTTCTATTGCATTAACAATGGTTTTAAGTATTTTAAATAGTTTTGCTTCTGTGAAAAGCTTTTATGTTTGTGTATATTCAATAGTTAAAAATCCCTTTTAAAAGCATTACAGACTATCCAAGTTTCAATTTTAGCACATTTTTCATCTCTAAAAGAAATTCAAGAACACCTAATTTTAATCTAGGATTTTTTTTTATCTGCTGATTTAAATTGTATCTAGTTTTAATTTTTGCTATTATAGTCATTTGTTAGTACAGCAGTACATTTTTCAAAATGTTTCTGTTAACAGATGTAGCGTAGCAGCAAACAAACTCCATAAAGCTTCATGAAAAGAAGGAACTTGTAATAACAATTTATCGTATAATATATATAATGTTTAATGTGTGTGCAATGCTTAATTTGTGCAAACAATTCTTTATGTGTATACAGCAATTTGTTGCTTAAAAATTTTTAAATTGCTCAAATTGGTACTTTTCCGTTTTGCCGGCGCAAGCGATAAAGTCGCCAATAATGGTACAACCGATGCCAAACAGAATATTCTCGCTGGTAATCTTTTACGCCTCATTTTCAAAACAAGTCGCAGCTTTTTCTTATCAGATTGATTGTTTCTTTCAATAGCGGCACAGCAATTAAGGGAGTTGAACAGCGGAACTTTGTAACTGAACAAGAAATTATGTCCGTTTATATAGAATTAAAGAGAAAATATCACGTAAAGCGAAGCAACTTAAACAACTTACATTGAAAGAAATGTTTAATAAAGTAAACAAATAAATATTAAGTTTTTTTGTGTAAATTTTGATACCCTTTAGATCATAATTGTTCTTTATTTCATAAATTACTGTTTCATATTTTTAATTTTAGAATTTTTGCATGCCATCTTACGAGATTTAAACTGATGATCTATAATCCAGAAAAATCGATAATCCGGAATCGCCGAAGTCCCGACGAGTCTGGATTAACGACTTTTGACTGTATCTACAACCTTAGTATTACCTACAGTAAACATAGCATAACTATGCATGGCACAGTATTAACGGGTTTTCATATTTGATGCTTTGGTGTACATTTTGAGACCTTGTTAGCAAAAAAGTATTTGTTTTTCAGGGGGGGGACTGTTCTGTACCTTTTTGCTCCATGAGCTTTTTATATGCTATTGCTACGAGGTTATTTCCCCTTTTCAAAACTTGAAATATATATATACATTTATTAAGCTTTAGATTATTTGGTACTATTCGGTTTTGAGGGCAGTAAAAAAACAATTGCAACGAAAATGTATGCGCAAAGGTGCCAAATCTAGCATATGCGTTGATTTCAGATTGGGTAAGTTTATATAGTTCTATATTTCTTAAGACGCCATTGAAATACTAGTTTAATTTGTAAATCCTTTTTTGATATCCAATGGATTTAACAGTTTGGAAATTGCTCATGACGAAAAGTCGGCAATAGAATTTTGGGTAAAGTGCAAAATCACCCACTGCTTGACGCACTTTTAAGAATTGCACATATTTGGTATCCATGTGCACATCGGCCTATTTTCACTTTAAAAAAATCCTAGAATTGCCCAAAAATGGCACTGCACACACCGACTTTATCTATGTACACATCGACCTATTTTCACTTAAAAAGTAAAAGAAAATTGACAAAAATTCAATTGTTTTTACTCTTGTAAAAAGCGGCAAACAAATACATGAGCGATTCTGCACTTTACCCAGAATATTTTCAAAGAAAAGGCATCCTTCATTATAGAAAATTACGTTTGAACAACCAATGAGATGAAAGTATGCTTTAGCGATAAGTCAGTAGCGAAATGGCGATGCAGGCATCCATTCAGTTATGTTTAGCAATTTTTATATACATTATAATAATGATCTGAGATAGTTATTTACTCTTATGCTTCCATTCAGTCATGTTTAGCCTTTTTCATATAAATTATAATAATAAAAAAGTATTATATGAAATTAACCTTTCATCTAAATTAAAACATCAATCTTAGATAGTTATTTACTATTATACTTCCTTTCTTGCCACAATTATTAGGGTTGCCGCAACTATTTTTGGCAGCATTGGCATCAACAATAGTTTGGCGCTTTTTTTATGGCCCCCGAAACCGAATAGTACCGATTATTTTTATAGTGTTTTACAAATTAAACAAGAAAAAATAGAAAAAATGTTGGTAAATACCAAAACTTGAATACAAATAGTTTTTTTATATTCATAAACTAAATACTTAAGAGCTAAATAAAAGGTTATTAGCATTCCTCTTTGAAACTGTGAAACTTTCTTCTCAGAGATGAATTCTCCCTGGTTGAAAACCTCTGAACGCTTAGAACTGAGACAAAACTAATTTGAAAAACACAAGATTAGTTTAAAATGGTATGTATCTAAGTAATATATGTCAAACATATTTTAGCAAGAAAGTTTGTTACTAGAAATCTTGGAACGTTTTAATAAATAGGTCATAAAACTTTGTTTGTTCAGTTTTGTATAATTTTTTCTTTGGCCTGTGACATTTAATTTTTTATCTGTAGATTCTAATACTAATTCTTTAAGTTTGTTAATAAGCTCTTCTGTTAAGTCTTCCAATTTCATTTTTTAATCTCTGAATTTAAAATTTTAAGAACTAATTGTATATGGCTCGTATACATTTCTCTCTCATCCATTTGGGATAAAGGTAATCATGAGCCGATTAAAAAAAATCAGAAGTTTTGCATTAAAATGAATTAACAACAATCAATATCCAAGACTTTTTTTTTTTTTTTTTTTTTTTTTTTTTTTTTTTTTTTTTTTTTTTTTTTTTTTTTTTTTTTTTTAAACAGTGCTGGGGGAGAAGAAAGAGTAAAATAGTTCTTGCAGCTTTTTTGTGTTTTAAGTGGCATTTTCTCGGCCATAGACATTTGAATGAATTTTCTGTAATTTTACAAATATGAAATTATAAGAATTCATTTTTAAATATGTTGTGTCATAAGTGTTTTATATTTCTCCAGTTTCACCTTCATAATTAAAACATTTTCCTTAGTATTTTAGGCATGAGTTTCAACAGAACTTATGAAAGCAGAGAACATTTGCAACAGTCATACTCAAATTTGGATGAAAAGGCACAAAAAGCTCCTAATGCATCACGTTTTAGAAATGAAGAAAATTTACATTACAGAAGATTGGAGACTCCTCGGAGAAACTCCCGCTGCAGAGAATTTAATCAAGGCCATGAAACTGAAGGTATTGAATTTCAGTATCGATCATTATCAGATCAAAGAGTCCAGGTAAATGAATCAAAGGTAAGAAGAGGTTATGTACATTACAAAAGAAACTTCCGGAGTCGTAATACTAACAGAGGAAGGTATAGATTTAGGTCTATGGAAAATTGTAATGATCCTGTAAATGAAGATGTTTCTGATTCTGAAAGTATATCTTCTATCCAAAGTTTTCATTCTAATTATTCTGATAAATCAGATTCTAGTTTGTCCAGGTATTATAAAAAACATAATGAATCTGATTCTCAAAACTTGACATACCGTATTGGAGACAGACGAGGAAAATATCCAGGTAAAGAAGTTAATTTAGGCAATGTGACTGCATCAGGAGGAAATTCTTGGTCAGGTATAACTGAGGAATTAAGTGTTTTTCAGAACACAAAACGAGATTTAAGAAGCATGTCAAAAAACTTACAGCCTTCGGATATTATAATGCATTATAGGCAACAAGTAGAAAATCATACTAAAGAATGCATTGCACAAAACTTGAAAAAGATTGAAAAAATTAAATGTATAATGAATAATGGGAAAGATAATTCTGAAATTCTAAAATTGCATCTGAATAATTTAATTCAGCAGCAGAAAGAGTTTGAAGATTACATTTCAAGTATAAAGATTCAGTTTTCTACTATTTATAATCCTGATATTGAAGTTATTCTTAAAAATGCGGATTCTATTGAAATGGATGTTCAACGTGAATGCAAGTTGTTTAAGAGATCTCTACCTGGATATGGTTTAAAACGTGATATTTTGCGTATAGTCGCAAAAAGCCAAGTCACAATTATTACTGCTGATAATTCCTATTACCTTAATGTTGTGGTGCCTCTTTTCATCATTAGAACATTCCCAGAACATTTCTTAATCTGTTGTGAACCTAGTTTAGTTCTAAAAGAAAGCTTAGAGAAAAATGTTCTGAGTTTACTAAACTTGGAGAAAAATATTTCAGGTAAAGATTTTATTAATAATGTAGCATTTATGACTGAAAAAGAACTGTTAGATAATTTTTCTGATGAACAGTATATTAATAAGAAATTGTTTGTGATTTTAAATCTGCCTCTGAAGCGATCAGTAATAGCAGATCTTGTATTAGCGAATTTGTTTGACATGTTAAAAAAGAGTGTGATACTTATTGTGCTTTTATCACCATATGCTGATATCCAGATCTTTGAGAATTATTTTTCTCAAGCGGCTACTGTTTCTATTTTACAGACTCCATGTTTAAGACTCCCTGTCAAGACTATCTGGAAAAAGACTTCATCTTATCCAATGGATGATTATATAGATCAAACTGTTAAAACTGTATTGGCTATTCATACTTTAAATGAAATTGATGGTGATATAATGGCCTTTCTTCCAAACAATACTGATAGCAAATCTGCTTCTTGTAAATTAAATAAAAAATTAATTGATTATCAATATAACGACTTAGAGTGTATTATAATACATGAGAACAGCTCTGATAAAACTTGCTTGAATATGTCAGCACAGAAGAAATCTTCAAAACGAACTGTATTTTTTGTTACAGGCTGTGCCGAAATGCTTAATATACCTGTCCGTTATGTTATTGATTGTGGAATAAAAAAAGATTTTATTTTTGATAGCAAGAAAAATTTGGATGTATTGACTACATCTTTTAATTCTCATGCAACTGCTAGAATTCGAAAATGTTTAGCTGGTACCTTTTGTGACGGTTTTTGTTATCGATTATATAGTAAGGAAAATTACATCAAAGAAATGGCTTCACGAGAATATCCTGAGATGTTAAGTGTAAGTCCATTTAATTCTTTACTTAAAATATTTCAGTATTTTCCTAAAACTTGCAACTCAGTACAGCTTATAGAACCTTTACCAGAAAGTATCAGAAATAATGCCCTCAAAGATTTAATCAAGTATAATGCTATCAGAGATGGAAATTTAACTTCTTTAGGAAGGAAAATTACTAAACTTCCATATCCAACCAAATATTCTAAACTGATTCTGCTTGGCATCCAATGGGGTATTGCATATGAAGCAGTTGTACTTGTATCATTTTTTTCAGTTAAAGGAAGAGTGTTTCAGTATTCCGATGATAGCGATAAGCAGAGAAGGATTGATGCTGTTAAATTGCAATTATCGCATAATGATAGTGATACTTTAACATATTTGTATGTATTCAAAACGTGGATTGAAAATGATTGCAGTTCAGCTTGGTGTGAAGATCATTATATTAATTTTGATACTTTGAAAAGTGTACATTCAAAAGTATCTGAAATATGTTTTAAAGTTGAAGATACTTTGAACGAAAATATATTGCAAGAATTTTCTTATGAAGATTGTACTTCTCACATACTGGAAATGATATTTGAATGTTTCCATGATAATCTGTGTGTTTTTACAGGTCATTATAGAAGTGGCTTTCAGATTTTGGCTTCAAATTGTATAGCTTTTTTACACCCATCATCAGTTATATGCCATAAAGAGAACTTACCTCAATTTATTGTTTTTGATCATATGTGTTCTACCACAAGAGATTTTTTAGTTGATGTAACATCTATTCCTCTTAAACTTGTTGAGAGAGCTAGAGAAAATGATATGATCGAGTTTGATTTTTCATATATGTTTAAAAATAGATTGGTTCATCAGACAATAGATCAAGTTGGTGAAAGGATAATTAAGCAAATTTTATTAGGGAAAAAAGGGAAGAGATTGAGAGAAATAGAAGAAACAATTAAAAAAGAAATAGGGAATGAATATTTAGTAATAGAGCCATTAGCAGAAAAAGGGTGTGTTATTGTATATGCATTACAAGCATATATTCAACATGCTGTCGATTTCGTAAACAATATTCTAAAAAGCAAATTTCAAGATCTGATAAATGCTGAAAAAGTGCATATTGTGAATCTCGTAAAAGGATATGTAAAAGTTCCTATAGAAGTTAAGCTGTTAAAAGGTGCAAGAGTAGAATCTGTGAAAGTAAAATTGCAAGGATCTCTCTTAATCCAGAATAATTTGGACACTGAAAAAATAGAAGCTGCTAATGATTCGACTTATACAGTTCAGTATTGTATTAATTTAACTTGGATGAGACGCTTATGTAGCGGAAAAGGATATGTAACTTTCGAAAATAGTGCTGATTTTATGAGGGCTCGTAAACTCTCTCTAAAATATATTCGTATGCTAGGTACTGAAGTGTTCATTGAAGTAAGTAATCGAGAAAACAATCAACTGTATGTGAGAGAAATTCCTCCAGATACCAAATGTAGTGACTTTAATAATGCTTTTAAATCTCTATTTCCTGGTATTAAAATAGACGTTGAATTAATGTTTCAGCCAGCTTTTGAAACCTCTGCAAGAGAACTGGAAAAATTTAAAAATGAAATTCAAAATCTTTGTGAAGAATATACAGATCTTATTGACTTTGATATTGTAATTCCCAACCCCAAACCTACAGCAACAATAATGAAAGCTTTTATTAACATTTCTAATAATGAATATTTGGAACCTGCTGCTGAGCAGCTATCTAATTTAGTGATTGAAGGCAGAAAAATTATCAGTAAGCCAGTATATCGATCCACTATCAAATGCAGTACTGAAATATGCAAAGCCTTAAGGCTATGTTTCAAAGAGAAATTAACTGAACTTGAAAATAAACTTAAGAAAAATTATATTGGAGAAGATCTTTTTAATTTTGATATTAATGCCGTAAGTGAGGATACAGCTGTTATCAAATTATTATCAAACCACAATGAAATAATAAAGCAACTTCAGAGAACTGTCAATGATTTACTAGAAGGAGAAGTATTATCAAAGCAGAATATGAAAGAAATTTCCAAACTGTTTTGTCATGGTGGCCATATTTGGTTAAGAACTTTAGAAAAAACTATGAATATATATATTATTGAAGATTACAAAACAAAAACTATAAGGTTATATGGATCACAAAACGATTGCAATTTTGCAAAGAAACGTATAGTGGAATTCCTGGATGATACTGAAAATGAAGCACTTCAAACAATTTCTTTATCTGCAGGACGAAATGACAGAATACTCTTGAAAGCTATTGTAAGAGAATATGGTTCTAATCTAGAGCGATTCATTGAAATCTGCGAATTAAGAACAGCTATCCTAGACATCAAGTCATGTTCACTCTCTTTAATTGGAAGCCAGACAAGTATTGAAAATGTAAGAATTTTATTTTTCGGAAGCCTTTGTTGTCTTTTCTGGTCTTGAAATTTTTTATTTAAAATCTATAATTTATGAGCAAGTTGTATAATTCATGAATTTTTTTTAAGGCTGAAAACTGTTTGAAGAAATTATATGCACAGATTGATTCAGTTGAAATAGATGATATGCTTTCATCCCAAGAAATTTGTCCTGTATGTGCATGTCCAGCTCTGAATTTACCATTTCGTCTTGAGTATTGTGGACATCTATACTGCCACGAATGCGTTACGGTTTTGGTTGAACAAGCTCAATTTCCAATTCAGTGTTGTGCCGAGGTATGTATTATATGTAAATTCTAATTTAAATCAATGTGGCAAAATATACAGTGATAATTTTTTTAACTGCAACTATTCAAATTTACTTAAATCATAGGTAATGAAATATTGCTAGGAAAAATCTGAAATATGCTTAAGATTATTGTACAGATCTTGACTTATAAATGTTTAGTTGGCAAAGCAATGAATGCTAGTTGGTTAAAAAAAATGTTGACTTTCGAATTCGAATTTATATATAATGGGAAACTGAAAGTCTAATATATTAAAATAGTTGAAATATCATGCCAGCAATTAAAATATAATGTAGTGTTTAGATAGCCGAGTATACCTCTTATCATATAGGCAGTTAAAACTGCAGTTTTCTTCTAGATATTATAGTTATATGCTGAATATTTTTAACCTTCTACGTATTTTTCTGTAAAATTTTATTGGAAAATTGAGCAGCCTGTTGAATTTATTTTTAAAATTTGTTTTGTGTAAGCTTAATGCCTATAAATATTTGAATCTTGTCTAGTGTAATGGTAAAAGAGTATTGAATGCTTGAAATTTGTCTTGTGTATGTGTAATGGCAAAGAGTATTAAATGTTTACATGTGTCAGAATAATCAAACCTAATCTGGTTGTACAAAAAATTGAAAACAAAATATACAAATAAGAAACAGAATAAAGATATTTGGAGATCTGTGGTTGAGATATTTGCCATTTCAGAAAAACCCAATATCAGTGTTATGAGCAGGCAAATAATTTTTCAAAAATTGGCCATGGTCATTAAAATTCTATTTATCGCAGTTAAGTAACATTCACATCCGAGAAGATGTGTAAATATTGTCATGGAAATGGATTTTGATGTATATATTTTCGAATTCGCATCATTAGCTATTTATTTTTGAAGTGAAAATTATCTAGTTCGATGTTGGTTTTTAGTTAATTCATGTTAAAAATTTAATTTTTTAACATTGGTAGATGACAGACTAAAATATTGGTATGAAGTATAAATATAAAGGAATAAAATTTGTCAATCCAAAACATTAAAATAAATTTAGCAGAAATTTTCAGGCAGATGTTCTTTTTTTTTTTTTATAAGGCTAGAAGGTCTAGAAAGCAAAGGAAAATGCAGTATGTGTTCCAAATAGAATGTAAAAAATGGCACATTATTCTTTGTGTAATTGTGGAAGGTAGCTCAAGTTTTGGAGATCGTCTTTTAAGTAATTCAGGTGTAGTTCTGAACTACAGATAATTTTCAACTGTATGAAATAATTTTAATAAAGTTCTCTGTGTAACCCCATCTGCTTCAGCAATGCATTCAGTGCTATCTTATTTTTTCGGTTTTCTTCTTCTATATAAAACATGTACAATTCTCGGTTTTTTGTATGGCTGTTCTGTCATAGCAAGATGTTTTTTCGGTTCTTCTTTACAATATGGTAACTGGTAGTTTGGCGACATTTTGGAGGTGATAAAGGTTACTACCTGGGACTTTGGTAATAATGTGAGCAGTACTCAGTTCCGATTACGCATTATTTTGTGTGAGGGAAATGAGAGATCATGGGATATGTCATGTGATATTAATGGACGAACTACGGTTCTTTAATCGGAAAAGGGGGGAAATCGGGAAAAAATCTGGAAATTTTGTATTTGGTTTATTCTATGTTGTGTGAAACAGTGTTCGTGAATTTTTGGATCCCATGGCCGTAACTAAAGAAAAGTTTATCAGACACGTAATCAAGATTCTGAAGAAGATGAGGTAAGTTATTATTTTTATGCATTGTTCTAAATGTAAGGTGGAAGTAAAGGAATTTGGTATTATTGGAAAAATTGTTATTAGCAATGATTTAGTTTAAAGTAATTAGGATTATAGGTAATTTTTATTAATTAATGTATGTGCTCATTTATATTTTAAGTAGTGTTTTTGAATTTAATTATATTTTAATAAATGATAGTTATTTTGTGAATTTTGTTTGTAGGAATTTGGTATACATTTAAGTTGAGTAAACGTGCATGGAAATAATTTTAAAATATTTGATACTAAGTATTTGTAATGCTTGCGGCATGAATTCGTTGGTGACGTGTATAATGTAATAGAGGATTTAGAGGTAAAAGTTTTTGGATATTGTTATTTATTTTATATGTGGAAATGTTCATATTTGGAAAGGGTAAATACTTTTTCGCGATCAGGTAATTTCATATATGTTCTTTTTACCGGGTTTAAAGATTGAGAAAATTGTCATGTATTTTCGTGAAATTTTTCTAATTTATGAGAAAAAAGCAGTGTACATGGATATAGTGAAGAGTGTGTGCGCAATGCCATTTTTGTGCAATTCTGGGATGTTTTTTTAAGTAAAAATAAGTCAGCGTGTACATGGTTTTATGTGTATGTGTTATTTTGAAAAACGCGTAAGGAGTATGGTATTGTGCACTTTTCCCAATTTTGCAGTGAATATTTGTCATGATTAAGCAGTTTTGTTAGATAAAATTTCTAGCATAAGTGTAATTCGGCTAGTAGATTGTTGGAAGAAGTGTTCAGTAGATAAAAAGAAAAGAAACATGTCTTTACTTCGTGAAGACAAAATGGCGGCGGGAAAAAAAAAAAATAGAGGGTTGCTGTAGGAGAGTTGGTCGCCAAATTTTCGCCAAAAAAACGCCAAGTTACCATAATGTAAAGATCAACCGTTTTTTCTTAGGCTGGTATTGCATGTCCATTTGTTTTGGACAAACAGCTGTTTAAAAAAATTTTTACACCTGCTTACCTGTCAAAGAAATACATTTTCTCTTCTTTTCTCAAAAAATTGTAAGTTTGTTCATTTTCAAAAATCAGTCAGCTTGGAATGTGTTCTATGACCCTTAAAAGACCATATTGAATTGCACAAACTCCCACAGTTTCGACAATCAGAATCCTAAAGTGAGAAAGAAAGAGGCACATTATGCCTTATGTTAACCACTTGCGCTAAAAAGACGTTCCACGCACATCGAGATGCTTTTGTCTCAAACCGGCCCACCAGTGGCCGAGCGGTAAAGTCGCTGAACACTGGTAGTTCGGTCCGAGGTTCGAATCCCGCGAACGGGCTGGCTACATGGGTGTTTTCGTGGTTTTCCTCATGTGTAACGTGTATACGAGCCAGTTTCCCTTAGAAAGTCCTCCACAAAGGCATCCCTTCCCTTAGGCTGATAGCCGTCGAGGCTTTGCCATAATTTGAATAACCTAACCTTTGTCTCAAACCGCGTGCAAAAATGAAAATAACATGGTGCACATGTCGTCTAACAACGAGATTGTTTATTTCTCAAGTTACAGCTCTAGATTGTGCTCGCAGACACGGAGCGGCATAAATGAGATGCTTTACCGCTTGTTATATTGTAGCGCACGGCACCGAAGCCATGAAGTTTAGTCATAGCGCAAATGTTTAATCACAAATTTTTTTCTGTTTGCATATGGTACACATGTGTTAAAATTTTATAAAGAATTTTACATTTTCCTTCATTACCAAATTTTGACTTTCATTTTCCACATTGTTATTTTTAATTTTTATTGAAATATTCAAGTATTAAATGCGAGTTTGAAGGTTGCTGTTTTTGATGATTTATATATGTATATAGGCTATAATTATGTAGTTTTTATTGAAATATTTCATTATTATTTTTAGTCCTAAGTATGATTTTTAAGATTATTATAATCAATATATCTTGCAAATGAAAATGTTCATATGAATTCTATTTTTCATTGATAATTATAAATTATCTTCAAACTAGAAATGTCTCAAGAACTTCTTTTGTTAAACACAATTCTTATTATTCTGATTTCCGTAACATATATACTCTATATATTCCATAACTGTGTATATTTCACATTCTATAGTTTTCCAATTTGTTTTTAAAATGCCATATTGAAGTGTTTCCTCTTGATTAAATAATTAAAGAAAACCAGTCTGTATATTCTAGTTTTATGATATATTGTTAGAAAAATAATTGAAAGTTAAATTTGAGTTTCTTAAGAATTTTTCCATTATAATGGGGAGGGGGTTAATTTCCACAAATCATTTAAATTAATATATCCGTGTAACTTCATTATGTTTTATGTATTTTTTTATTTTTATAGAATTGTGATAAAGATATTATTCTTGATGATATTAACAAGATATTGGGGGATGATCAAGAAAGAATAAATTCGTTAGTAGAAAAAGCAATGAAAAACTACCTTGAGCAACATCAGTTAGAAGTAATGTACTGTCCTGCACCAGATTGCTCTATGTTTTTTTACAAGGAAGAAATCCATGATACAAAACTGAATTGTCCTCTTTGTCAGAATGATGTATGTGTTAAGTAAGTTCTTTTGTTTTACTTTTTATGTTAATGTAATCACCTCCCTAGAGGATCAGAATATTTACTTTTTATGATTATATTTTGAATTATATTTGGAAATAAAAAATCAGTGAAATGGAAGTGTTTCTGTCATTTTATTTCCTAGGTTATATTTCTATTTCCAAGTAAATTTATTCGAGCTGATTTGTCATCTGGTAAGATATACAAGTATATATTATAAGAAAGTATCATCTAATTGTTATCTTACTGATTTTATTTTTAGAAAGCAGTTGCATAAAGCATAAGCTTATTTAAAATGCTATTTGAACCACATAAAAAAATATTAATCTAAATTGTTAAATATTTTGTTATCTAGTTTTGTAATTGAACCAGTGGTATCACATTACATAAAGTCTTAACAACCATCCAGCCAGTCTGTTTGTGGGGGTTTGAACCTGAGTGGAATTACTTCTTGAACAATTAGCATTCAGTGGTCTTAACCAGTTCATCCCTGGTGGGGTGATAAACTTACGGATACTGGTAGGTAGTTTAAGTTGAGACTATAATACTCAAGTCTGCATGCTTATACAAATTAGATAGTTTGTAGAGACATTAGGTATTTTTGGAAGCAGGCAAGATAAAAAATTGGCAACGCCTTTGCCGAGAGTCGAACCGCGAATCTCTCAATTACGCGCTGAGTGTGCTGACTACTACACCATGAAGGCTGGCGGGAGAAATACCTTATATACCCCCTTTTAACCCCTTCCTGCCAACTGTCACGTATACGTGCCAGCAACGAACATACTTATCTACTGTCCGACATGCAGGCGTGCCAGAGCATTGTTGCATTCTCTACCGACTGTCGCGTATTTGTGCCAGTACTTTGGAACGTTTTTCAAACTATAATTTCTGCCACAAGATGGCACTGTATGTCCATATGGTTTCAGATACATGTGCATTAGACCTTCTACTTGAAATGAGAGAAGCATGACTCACATACACGTGTTTTTGATTATATAAACAAACGGGGAACTAAATGTTTCCGAATGGCGTGATTTATGACGTCTCTTTAAATCGCACTTTATTCGCACGTGGTAGTTGTTTATTGTAAGTAGAAGTTTTTATATGCGCTAAAGCATTGAGTATTTCCCGTTTACAGTTCAGTTTTTAGAAAATAATTAGATCTTGTTAGACGTGAATTCTTTCTGTTTTTTCTGTTTTTACCGTTTCAATGTCGAAGCGTCGAAAATGTTTAACAGAGCATGAAATAGCAGAAATGATGCAAAATATTTCAGATATTGATTCTGAATATTCTGATATTGATTCTGGAAAGATTAACTGAAAGACATTTTCCAAAACTTTGTTCAGAAGAGACTGATAAGAAAATGAGACGACGATGCTTCGTTTGTTCACATTCCCGGAAAAATCCTCCAAAACGGCAAAATGAGTTAATACGAGTTCAAGGAATGTAACGTAGGACTGTATGTAGATCCCTGTTTTAAAATTTTTCATACGAAAGAGAATTTTAATATATTTAGTTTTCAGATGTATAATGTTAAAAAGTCATAAAATGGTGAGTAATTAAAATAAAAAAATGTGTAAAAAAATATGCATTTAAACAAGAAATAAGGTAATTAAGGTATATATATAAAAATATCTATAAAGCATAAACCGTGTAAATACTCTATAGAGCATTAATAAACAATGCGTTGATACTTCGGAAATTTCATGGATTTAGGCTTAGTAGCAAAAAAGCCCCCGGCGCTTGAGAGACACTGCCGGCCTCCGCGATAAGCGCGCGTTGGTTAAAGGACGATTGGGGTTTTTAGGGGACCCAATCGTCAAATCCTGGGTGAGGAGAATCATCATCCAACACCCTTTTTAGTTTGAGCGTCACTTGTAGAGACATTAGGTATTTTTGGAAGCAGGCAAGATGCCTTCGCCGGGAATCAAACCATGGACCTCTCAATTACACGCTGAGTGTGCTGACCACTACACCATGAAGGCTTGATAAGAAGGTGGGAGAAATACCTTATAAGTTTTTAATTATATCATTTCAAATTTAAAAAAAAAACTCGTCTGCAAAGCTGTAAAACTAATCTTGGATATTTGTGATGAGAAAAATCTAGAAGTTATTTCTAAACATCGATCTTACTTAATAGATTTGATAATTTGTTTGAACACATCATACACAAGCTACTCATTCTGTGTCAGGAAACAATATGCACATGGTTAATTAATGCTTAACTGGTAAACACTTTGTTTTGTTTTGTTTATTATATGCCTTGTAAATATCTGTTCAATAGAATGATCTCAAAATTGCAAAGACTTTGAGGGGAAGTAAATATTGGGAATAATCCTAATTCCATGGGAAAGTATGACTGCACATGCCACCTGCTAGGAGATAGAATAGACACAATGACACAACAAGAATGCAATATAATGAACACATTATAATTGGCAAAACCTAACTGTGTAATGATAAGCATGGTTGTTTATATATATGGCCTTGAAGTTCTTCCCACAGAAACTGATGTTGAATAAATTAGATGAATATTGGAACCATGCATGGAGTCTATCATGTCCAATCCACCAGTCCCAAAGGTACTCGGAGTTATAACAATCATGGGCCCATTAGTTAAGTATAATACCTACATGCACATAATGCCAAAGAAGTGTTGTCAATGAAGTCATTGCATAATGTGAGAGTTCTTTTAGGCTCTCGTGCACATTGGGGGAACTGAAAACATCCTTCGAGACAAAAGGATACCTCATCTGTGAACAACTTGAATTCTGGGTTGCTCACAGAAACCATCATACATATTGTGAATAATCTTATTGGTGTTGTAACTGGACATATTGAAGATAAAAGGAATATAATGCCACAGCATGCATAACATGGCATGTTGTCTCAAGATGTTTTTGTTGTGATGACAACTGCATGTATGCTTGTGCCTGAATTAATTTCCACAGCATACAATATATCTATAATGGAAGCTTAGGTAAGTTGTGGCCACATTCTGTATCCTAATCCTCAAGATTTCATTTTCATACAGGTTATGATATAAATAGAAAAACAGTTTGTGTTGTAGTTCATGTCTAGTTGGATTCCTTTCCCACTACATTCTTACAGTAGCTTATCAATTACCCCATCAACTCAGTATTTGTAAAATGGTGTGTGTTTTCCATATGACATCGCAATGTTTTAATTAGGAAGCCCCTGATACCGACTTGGTGTTCTGGCATACCATTCATTAATCCATTTTCCTTTTGCTTTTTGATGTGAATGCATTTCATATTGATGTTCTTTACTGCTCCTAAAAAGTTGTACATAGAGTTCTTTGGTATTTTGTATATATAGTGCATTTCAAGCCAGTATTATATGATGCTTACTTTGTAAGTCTATTTTATTCAATACTCTTGTGACTATTGAATTGGGATCGCTTTGCTAGCATATACTTGCAATCTACGCTTGCATGGCATTGCTTTTAGCTGGATGCATTATGTACAAGTACTTGTTATGAATATTCCACGAAATATATGTGCATGATTAACCATTATCTTTCCCCTTCCACAGTCTTGTTAATATTTGTTCTATATGCATTTTAGTTCATTCCAGTATTTTACAAGGCATTTTTGGATGTTTTATTCAGTATTTTTGTAAATGGCATTTCAAACAATTTCTGACAGTTACCAATGTATGCCAACAGCGTCATGCAATATTTTGAGCATATCAAGCTGTGCTTCATTTTTTAATTTGTCAGAAGAGTGTTTTCTTGTTACATGCATGCCCTTGTACTTCAGAAATTGGAATTTATTACAAACTTGATTTCAAATTGCTTCTTAAATTTTTTTTCTTGTTGTGTGACAAAAAATTTCAGTTTGAAACTTCTAGATATTCAGAATTTAAAAAAAAAAAAAATAAATAAAACTATCTATGATATACAAGGTTGTTCAATAAGTTCGCGGAGCGCCATCTATTCGTCAATATTAAACCTAAAACTTCGACGCCATTTTCATATTTGTTCTTTCTTAGGAACACGTGAAAAGTTTCATTTCGATCTGTTAATTTATACATTGTTTAACTGTCCTTTATATCTAACGTGTTGCGTCTTTTTTCAAGTATGGATAAAATTGAGCAACGTGCAGTTATCAAATTCTTTGTAAAGAAAGGTTTAAAGGCAATGGAAATTCATACTGAAATGGTGAATGTGTTGGGTGAATCTGCTCCTTCAAAAACAATGGTTTGCAAGTGGGCTAGTTACTCAAAAGTGGTCGTACCAGCCTTGAAGACGATCCGCGAGAGGGATGTCCAAGAACTGCGTCAACATCGGAAATCATCAGAAAAATACAAGATATTGTATTGGAAGACCGTCGATTGACTGAAAGAGATTTAACAGAGGCTTTAGGCATTTCATTGGGCACAGTGAGCAATATTTTGAGTGTTAATTTGGGTTTCAAAAACTATGCAAAATGGGTGCCACATTCTCTAACGATGTAGCAAAAACACATTCGGATGCGACTTTGCCAGCAACATTAGGAGCGTTTTAAGAATAAAAGCGACTTTATCCATCTATTTATCACAGTGGATGAGACTTGGGTCTACCATCATGAGCCGGGTTCACACCACTGCTTAGCCAGGAGGCTAAGGAGTGGTGTTGAACCCGGCTCTTTGGCGCCGAAGCGAGCTCATGTGCAAAAATCAGCCAAGAAGGTGTTAGCATCAGTTTTTTAGGATGCGAAAGGAATTTTGTTTATAGATTACTTTCAAACTGGCAAAACAATTAATTCGGATTATTATTGTAACCTTTTGAATCAATTAGACGAAAAAAATTCGTGAAAGAAGACCCGGATTACAGAAGAAAATCATTTTCCACCAAGATAACGCTCCTGCGCACACAGCTCAAAAAACCATCGCTAAAATAACTGAATTGAAGTACAAATTGTTGTAACATCCAGCCTATTTGCCAGATTTAGCTCTCTCCAACTTCTGGCTCTTCCCACACCTCAAACAATATCTC